AGAGCACAGCATATTTCAGTCTAATTAATTTCTTTCTAATCAGTGTATGTCAAGGTCCTGTTATGTTTTGAAACCACAGAATTCAGACAGGATGAAACAGGTCTCTGCTCAGATGATGATCTTTGCATTAAATGTACTCCAGCTCCAGAGTTCTTCTCACTGCTTTATTTGGGGACAAGGGGGGGGAAGGGCTGCTGTTGTCCAAGAGACAAAGACTGAAGTCTACTTCCTAGTACTCCTGGGAACAACAAATACATAGCTATCAGGAAAGATCTCTTAATGTGGAAGGCGAGGAAGTCACTCCCAATTGTTTTAGGACCAGGAGGCCAAACTAATACAGGACTAAGGAAGATTAATATACCACAACCCCTTTACCTTTTCATATCTCATTCTTCTTTAGAGTATGAAAATGACAACTATAAATTCTTCTGTTCAGGGATTCCAAGGTACGATTACTTACTAATTAAAGGATGTCATTGATAAGATTTTATAGTGGCCACTGCATCGCAGGAGATTTATTTTGATGGTTTTCCTTCCCTTCCCTTTCCTATTACCGCTGGCTTCTCTCCAGTGATCTAGTACCCCTTCTAAACAATGAGAGCATTGTATCAGCAAAGCATGCAAGTCTCCACCAGTCTGGAGCCTGGGAATACAAATCTACGCAAGATTTTGTATCTTCCTGTGAGTACTATGCAAAACCAGCACTAGCCAAACACAGTCCTTTTTCACAACCCCATCATGCAATCAAGTTTTGTATGTAAAATATTGGTTGTGAATCAGCTATTAAAGAATGCTTCCAGTCTAAAAAAAAGTACAATTGTACAAGAATAAAAAGATCCGTTATCGTCTCAGTGAAACTCGTATCAAAGGCGACAGACTGGCTTAAAACCATCATTACATACAACTCTGATTTGTAATACAAATCCAGGCTTTTTCAAGCATATAAATGTAGTTTTTTAAGAAATAAAACTAAGAAATGTACTTTTTCTGCGTGGCCAAGGAACTGAGACCACCCACAGACTATCTCACCTAATCCTATAGTAAAAGATGGTAGGCCCTTGCTGTTACACAAAACAGAACAGGACAGTGAGGATTCATTAGCTTTTCTGTTAAAAAACAAACACACAAAAAACTTCTGTGTAAGATAAAGCATTCACTGGTTACAGTTGAGGGCTACAACTATTTAAAAACCCATAAACCCCACCCCAACTGTCTCCTGTCAACCAGCCACAAAAGGATACCCCAAAGCTGAGGAGTCCAAGGGAGCTGAACACTATAGCAGTCACATCACTCCCTGGAGTACGACCGTCCACAGAAACGAACATCCATTTCCTAACCAAGCCCAAAAGGGCCATCTCAGCTGAGAGAGACTTTCAAGCCAAGGGAACGGATTGCTTTGTTTTCTCGTCTGAACCAGAGCTGAACGTGCTGTTGGCAGATACATGCAGCATGGTTCTGAAGGCAGCTAATTTCATTTTCAGGTGATGCCTTCATTTATTTAAATGCACGATAACATAAAGCACATACTGTGTTAATTCCATTAATATACAAACGCTTGCTAGAGGTAAGGAGTAATTACGCTGGAAAACCTGTTAGCTGTGCAGCACCTTGTGTTATCACTACCATCTTATACAATATCTACGGGCCTTCTTCAACACATGGATGGCTTTTGTTCCACATTTTGACAGTCTGGATGCAGTCTTTGTTGAGGTGAGACTTTGCAAGCAAATTCTGGGCAGTCTTTTATGTCAATGCAAGATAACCAAGCATACCGCCTGTCCTATCAGCTGCTAATGACTCAGCCACACAAAATGCAGCTAAGGGATAAAGGGTCCCAGCCTGCTCCTTTTGAATTAAAATGACAAAACTCCTCTTAACTCAGAAATGGAGAATGTTAAAAGCGACAAGGAGTGGAAAGAGCTCACAGAAACTTTAAGTATTCAGATGTTATAAAAAGTTTACTGATTAGAAATAAATTGCTGTATAATAATTCCCATGTAAATGAAAACTGTTATGGTAATCTGTCTTTCCAAAGTAAATACTACATCACAAGATGACCAGAAGGGCATAAAAAAAGTCTGTAACATTTATTGACTAAACAGAGGAGATGACACTACTTTGAACTGAAAGACAGAGTTTTATCTAGAAAATTTATTTTATGAGCATTTACCTCGTCGTGAGTTTCCTGTTTTTTTAAGCCAGCACACTTCGTTATTATAAGTTCATGGCATCTCTTGTGGACTACACAAGTGCAAACTATAAACAAAAAACAGATAAAAGAATGAGTTTTCATGAAGATAGATTTGAAAGCAAAAGACTAATCTCAGAAGACTAGAAATGCTGCGACTTGAAAGGCTGCAAGTGACTGGTGACTTGCTGAATCCTATGAAGTAGGTCTGGCTTACAAAGGCAGAAGACAATGGACTTACAAGAGACCAAAGAATTTTAAGAGAAATAAAGCATATCTGCAAACTACCTTCTGAAATATTTACCATTTTTTCCTCAATTTTTACATATTTGATTTTTTAATCTGATAAAAGTCCACAATCTCCACATTACATGAGACACAATTGAAAAAACAATTCCTGTCTGAAGAGCTTCCAGAGGAAAAAGAGACATAAAGATAATTCATTGTAAAAGTCAAAGAACAGAAAAAACAAAGTTGAACATTCTTTCTGTAACACATTATCATAAGCTGGTAACAGTAAAAGTTTCCAGGAGGCAAAAATGCTTTGTCAATACTCATGGTGATTACTTAATCAATGAATAACATTTGCAGATATGGCAGATAAGATTAAAAATTACAAGGTCTATTTGTACTGTGGAATTCAAGGTCATTAAGTGATGAAAAAAACCCTTCAGAGCAAAATATGAATTTCATTTTCTTCTACCTTTGGCCATTGTTGTAAGAAAAAACGAATCAGAACTCAAGGAACCTCTGCTGTATGTTAACACAGTAATTTTTATTGTAGCATGTAAATCCATTATTTGCATTTATTTATTTACAATGAGATTTCATCATGTCTTTTGTAACTGAAAAATCATCACTAACTTGATTATTTCTACTTGTCAGATGAGAATTAAGCAGAAAATCATCATCGCAAGAGGTGACTGCATAAAAAATTGAGTACAAGAAATTCAATTGAAGAATGGAGTTGAAAATGAAGCACTTCTGCAATCTTTGCTATAACCTTCTCTAATGATGACCTCTATAATTATCTCATCTTTTTAATTACAGTCTTTGCAATTACCTGGCATTTTTAAACAAAGAATCTTAAGCAGAATAAAGATTCACAACTTCAAAATTAAAGAAGTGAAAAATGAAGAAGCCAGCATCCACAGATATGCCCCCCTCCAGTTGGATGTGCATCAAGACATCCCTAGGACCTGCTGTTCAGTGATGTTAACTGTGCTCCTATTTCATCTATGATGCCTCAGACCAACAGTTTTGAAAAATCTTACTGTGACTTGCTGTAAAGATTGTTATCTTTGGTGAGACAAACTTAGTCTTATCATCTTGTGCTAAATTCTTGGCACTGTACATATACAATGCCTGATGAAAGTTTCTTATTATTTATATATTATAACATAATACATATGTTCAAACTGTCCCCCTGTAGATTTTCTCTTACCTTGACATTGGTATCCCTGTTTTCCTATTACACCCCTGAAAATAAAACAGTTTTAGAAAATTAAGAATATACATATTTAAAAATGAAAAACATTTTTTCCACTCTTTACAGGACACGCGCAAGTTTAAAATAGCTTCTTATAACCAATAATCTGATAACCGCATGCCCAGACTGAGATCAGTTCAACGCAGGAACCACATTTCAGCTGCTAAGAGGTATCAGGTAGGATGATAGACCATGAAGAGAGTCAGAAGTAAAGACACATTTACTAAAATAAAATAGGCACATAGTGAGGTAAGTGCCAGGCTGGCAAAACAGTCATCAAGCAGGCCTCTAAATAGACAGAAGATTGCATTTGCCAATATTGTTGCTTGAAATCCCCTTAGCTAACGTAAAGCCCAACCTGCAGACTTTTCTTGGTGGAATGTAGTTGAGTTCACGTACAATTCACATCATTTCATATCAAGAAAAACTGAATCATTACACACACTTAGGAAACACTAATTACGGATCACATTAGATCTTACACGTACTGACGTGCAAATCAGTACCTCTAGATAACTTTGGAAAACATCAATAGAGTTGCTGAAAAATAATTGAAAACTGAATGTCTCCACCACTTTTCCCTATCTGAAAACTGCGAGTACTAAAACCAAACAAATTATTTCCAAATAATTTATTATTAAATTATTAAATAATAATTATTTCTTCAGATACGCTGTAATAATAAAGACCCTGTAGGCTGAGCACCCAAAACCCTGGATCATAAGAAGTCTAATATTCCCATATTCCATTAACTTCAGTAGGATGTATAGGAGCTTGGCATTTCTTAGGAGGAAGATGGTGATACTTAAGCATCTATAGAAGAATTCAGTCATCTTGGCAAAATGCAAAGGCTTAATATTAGGTGTAAATCTACACTTAGGCACCTACAGAACACTAGACGGGCTGTCTACCTAGAACTTATAGCATGTACTAGACAGAAAAAGATTGAACTTTGTGGCTCAGAGGAGAAAAAAACATAAATACTACAAATTCTAGCATTTGGGACAGAAGTTTAACAGTCTTCTATTATCGGCTGCAAAACTGATGACAGTTTAATACTAAAATGAAGAGGAAAAGAACCACTGCTCTATGCCATCTACGCTCCAGCAGAATGGGAGGGTATGTTAATGCCTCGATTCCAAGCTGCAAAGAAAGCAAAGTCAAGGTTGCTTCATACCATATAAAATCTCTGCAGTGCGAGCAATACGTTGGCTGTCTGAGATAGGTGGCCATAAACTTGTGTCCGTTAACCTGATGCACTCTGCGGCGCACAGCCCCCTGCCGCTTCCTGGGGCGCATGCGTTCCCGGAACACACGTTCTTCATTGTCTTTGGGTGCTGAAACAGAGGAAAAAAACTGTAAGCACGAGCTGTATCAGACCCAAATACTGGGAAACTCAAATGCAATACTTAAGTAGGTATTCTCCAAAAATAAAAAAAAATCTCTCTCTACCTAGAAGTGCAAGATAACTTTCCTAAGTTGTGGGTAATTTTCTTCTTTTTTAGCATCAGTTACTAAAGGGTGAGCATTTTCATTGCCTAGTACAGGAACGTCCATATTTCCTAAATTCATGCTCAGCTGGCAATAAGCCTTCTGCGTTTTACCACTATCAAGCACACTGACAACCTCTTTAAAAGTATTTACACAGTTAGATTCTTCAAAGAGCTCAAACTTTCATCTCATTTGACCTTCACAGGGGAAAAAAAAAAAAAAAAAAAAAAGTCCACCAAAAAACCCCAACATACCCTGGTCCCCATACACTCAGGAAATGCTGACACAAGTGCAAGAAAGCCAAGTACAAATACGTGTTATGAAGCAGAACAAAAATTCCATCCAGAACTGATTACTTCGTAGAATTTCTGATTAAGATCTGAGCTTCAGGCTCTAATAATTCACTTTGATACTAATACATTTTCAGCAAAATGTTGAAGGGAAGGAAGTTGTTCCTCTTAACAAATTCCTGTTCAACTGTATATATAGAGTATATAGAGATTTAATGGTAGAGGAAGTAAAAATCAAAGTTAATGTATCTCAGAATGAAAACCTTTGGAAAAAATCCTCCAGAGTGCATTGTGCCTTTTTTCCCCAAGGTTTTACTTTGAAAAGTATCACTAACACCTCCATAGCATTCTGTATGATTGAGCAAAAGGCGAGGATGAACTAGCCATGAAGAACAGACAGTTGTTAATGAAAGACAGATTTTTACAAGCGTTCCTCGAGCCGCTTGTGTGTCTGCAAAACACAGTATCAGATTTGGAGGGGACCACATTCAGTCATGCACTGCCAACTGAAGGTATGCACTCACTACTTCAGTGCATATAACACTTTGAAATGTATTTAACACTTCCCATTCTCCGCATTCAGCTACGCTGAATCATTACAATGGCCTAAGATGCCAACTTTGGTCTGTGGTAAGCTTTTCTGTACACAAATGAGTTCTCCAAGCAACAGTACAGTATTTAACAATAACACAAAGAAAATCAATAGTCCAAGAACAACTCAAATCTGTAACAGTCTCAAATTCTTTTAAGAACACTGAAATAAACCCCATTTTTGAGGGTTGTGAAATTAAAAGGTATTGGTCTTAAATTAAGCCGGTGGATGGATATCCTGGGAAAATACAGAGCACAGACCTACGAATCGAGATCAACTTCTTTCACTGCACAGCAAGGGCTGAAACCCATGACACTAGCAAATTCATTCATGCCCTAAAAAGCCTAAGCTCCTTACACACTAACACCTTACAAAGCCTTCATACTCAGGGGTGGGTTTTCACCCTACGAAGACACATCTGTGGGATGGTGAGAATGGCAATACTTTCTATTCTGAGAGCACTCTCGATAAATAAACACTGACTTATACACAAAGCTACCCCTTTTATTCATGCCAAAGAACAATCAGAAAGCAATAGCTGTAGGTCCCCCTTCAAGAAAGAGATAAGAAGTACCAAATACTTATCAATTATATTTATTATTATGTTGCCAATTATGGTATTTTTATGCACTAAGCAAAACTCTGGTGTCTAATACCACAGCTCCTTGAGAGAAAGACTATCTTCCACAAAGAACGTGTAACAAGTAGTTGGAAATCCTACCAAAGACTCCTAATTTCCAGCTTCTGAATATTTTTTGACTTTACAAAGCTGCTGGAAGTCTTTGTTGAGTTATTACTATAGGAAATAATTTTCTATTAACACAGAACTGTTCTTTTGGTTGTCATCCAGATAGCAGAATTTGCTAAAGTATGCAGCCTGGATGTGAGAAAGTTAAAATCCCACTCTCCTGGAAAGGGTTCCCAAAAAGTAATCTGTTTATATTAAACCAACAAGATGTTCTGACAGTGCATGGCTTGATATGATAATCAGTCTACAATACCACTTTTCTCCTTTTTTAATTTTAAGTGTAATTCTTCACAGATAAAGCATCTGTAATTTTACAGAGCAGATAAAAATCCTCATCTTGTTTCGGCTAGATAAACACAATATCATGACACGATTTTTATTTTTTTTTTTACCAACAAAGACTTAAAACTAATTTTATTGTATCACTTTCAGTTCTATATTTAATGCTTTTAAGAAATTCTACTTTTCACTTACAATACTTAAAATAGAACAATGAAACAGTGTCTTTTTCAGAAATGCACTGACCTGAAAACAGACACGGAATACACCTGAAATTATCAGATTAAATGGCAGGCCTCAATTATCGATATCATTTCCACACAAACAGCATCTCTGTGTATCAGCATCATAGAATCAGAACAGTTTTGGTTGGAGGAGACCTTCAAGATCATGGAGTCCAACCTTTTTCCTAGCTCTACCAACACCACTAAACCATCTCCCTAAGTACAACATCTACCCGTCTCTTAAGCACCTCCAGGGATGGTGACTCCACCACCTCCCTGGAAGGATGCAGGGAAATGTAGTTTTCTTGGTCTGTCGTGGATACGTTAGAGGTCCTTTAGCCTTGAGAGTTCCCCCAGAACTGTCTCTCCTGTCAATCTGCTGTTCCACATTTATCACTGAACACCAGCACTTGGCCAAATCCTTGCACCACATCCCACTTCAGTGGCGAGCTGCACAGCTGAACTGCGTGTTCAAGAGCAGTGACTCCTCAGCGGTGACTCTGCCCCCACCTCACCTCTCATTACAGCCCACGCGGAGTCCCCACCTCGTCAGTCAGCAGCAGTACTTGTTTCGGGGGGCATCTGGCATTAGAGTGCATGACTGGACACTGGATGACTGGACACCAGCCTTTCATCAAAGCAGACCAAGTCACGAGCACAAGTAACTCACTCAAACTCACCCAGTTTACATGAAGTTCAGCTAGCTTGTTCCCTGTTACCCAACAGCAACACATAAGCAATGCTTTTCCCACAGTCTGCCATGTCTTGTATAATTCCCTCTGCTGTTGTGGATCACAGGCTCAAAACCAGGCAGTAACTTTCCCAGGTGACTCAGAAACAGATGACCACATCTGTGCTGGCTCATACCCAGGGTGTGAACCACTCATTTCTAGTAGCACTAACGACAGTCTTATGTTTAAATTAAAATCCATTTATCTCATACTTAGCCACACTATAGACGTTCATTTAACTGTCTGAAGACATCTACTTAGAAGGGGAACTACACTGCTCTCCCCAAACTTCTCTCATTGCTCGCAAGCAGGAAAGCAAAGATTAGTAAATGCTATCAGAAAACAGGGAGTAGTTGGGAAAATCCCCAATATTTGTGTGATATAGCCAACCAGTGCTTTCAACACAGACTTGAGAATATATTAGCATCCCAAACAAAATTCCCTTTTAAAATCTAGTTTTAAAAAAAGTCTTACAGTGGTATATAATAAGACTCCATAAAATATCATTAAGACGTTGCATTCCTATTCTTAGCAGAGGAGTTCAAATAAAAATTAAGTGGATTTGTCATAGTTGGTCTATAAGCAAGTTCCAGTATAACTCGCAGTATTTCTACCAAACAGTGACAGAGAGTTTCCTCAGTAAAAAAGCTGCTTCTCTATGTAACGTACATTCTATTCCCCATTTTGATTTTAAGTACTTCAGTCCTTCATTTTATTCACTTTATCTTTTTTTAATGCATTTATTTAACTTCCATTTTCAAAAGAAGGAGTAATACAGGCTCATGATAATTTCCAAGTGTTCATGGAGAATACTGTCAATGCAGCACATTGAGTTCAGGCTTTATATGATGGTACTTGAGAACTGGCAAATTTAGATCTAATTTTTTTCCTCAAAACTATACCCATATATGCTGCTACTTCTTTTCACTGCAGCCAAGAGTAACTCTGAGTTATTTGGAAAACAATAGCATATAATTCCTTTTATAGACTCATACATACATACAAACATATTGCCTACCATTTCAAAGACTGAAAAGACTTGCAGGCTTAACTCCAAGCTCTTAGAGAAGTGTTACAAAACTCAGAAGTATTTGGCATGCAAAAGCGCACAAAATTAAAAAATACTTGCAAAATGGATGTTTAAATGAACTGCCTGGAACTACATTTAACACTGTTAATCTTGTAGTATCTGTTAAGTATGAATTATAAGTCATAACTCAAAACATAAGAAAGTGACACATAACGCTCAGCAACCCTCAAAGGGGGCAAGACTGGGAGAAAAGACCCTGTACAGCAAGTAACAAAGGCTTGACCACGTCAGGTCTCATTTCGTATTAAAATGGTTTCTTCATAAATGAGAAGGGTTCAGCGTGGAGCACTAATGGCAACAGACAGTATTACCCTGCATAGCAAGATCTGTCATTTCCATTTCTGACCCTCTATGTTGTGAGTACTTACGGGCATCTGATGACAAACAAAAAATGGAAAAAATACGGCAGAAAAAGAGAGATTACACACACGGAGAGGGTTTTCAGCGTTTGTTATCGCTCAGAATGCTGCCTTCTAAAAGGGAACATGCTGGGCACTTCCCTTCATCTGGAGGGGATTGGAATCAAATAGTGACAGTGTTCGGGGGGCTGGGGGGGAAGCGGATGTTTTAGTCAAACGGCTGCTGCCCCATCAAAGCCCAACTGTAGGCCACCTACAACGGTAACACCCGCAGCAACTGCTGTAGCCGCCAGGCAACCCCGTGCAACAGAGCAGCGACACCTCCACGGCAATTCTGGCACAAACGGCTTTTCACCCCAGGCATCTCTTGGGCGTCTTCATGTTGCTGTCATCTGCCACTACAACCAGCATCCAGAGAAACCAGCTGGTTTAACATCAACCTTTAATAATCACAGCAAAGCCTAACTGAACAACAAATGCTTGTACATGTTTTACTGCTGAAGATGGAAATTAAGAGCTTTTGTATCACATTC